TATTGTTGAATTTATGATGAGGCAGGAAAACTGATCAATGTTTCCATAGTATCTTAGTCTATTAGGGCTGCTATAACAAAATGCCTTAAATGGGTAACTTTTGTAAGGAGTAGAAACTTATTTCTTATAATTCTGGAAGCTGGGAAGTCTAAAACAAGGCACTAGCAGTGTCTGGTGAGGGCCTTCTTCCTCATAGATGATACTTTCTCAGTGTTTCCTTCCATTGTGAAAAGGAGCTAGCTTGCTCTCTGGAGTCTCTTTGATAAGAGTGCTAATCCCTTTCATGAGGGGCCTATTCTCATGATTTAATAATTTCTCCCCAAAGGCCCTGACTTAATACTATTACATTGAGGATTAGTTTGACAGATGAATTTCAGGGTTCATAAACATTTTTTTTTAATTGCTTCTTTTTAGTTATAATTGGAATCCATTTTGACATACTTGTAAAAGCATGGAATATATCTTGTTCTAATTCAGTCCCCAATAACCCTTCTTTTCCTTCCCCTTTTCACCCCTGCTCCATTCCCTCTCTTAGCTTTCTGCCATTTACCCACAGATTTTTTTTAAAAAATTAATTTCTTGTGGACATAAATTATGGTGAAATTCACTATGAAATATTCACATATGAACAAAGGAAAGTTATGTCAGATTCATTCCACTGTCTTTCCTTTTCTTATCCACCTCCCTTCCTATCATTACTTTTTGTCTACTCCTCTGAACTTCCATCTCCCCCTCCCTTATTGTGGGTTAGCTTCCATATATCATAAAGGACATTCAACCTTTGGTTGTTTGGAGATTGGCTTATTTCATTTAGCACGATACTGTCCAGATCCATCTGTTTACCAGGAAAAGTCGTGAAGTTATTCTTCTTAGTGGCTGAGTAATACTCCATTGTGTATATCTACTGCAATTTCTTTATCCATTCATCTGTTGAAGGGCACTTAGATTGGCTCCATAGCTTAGCTATTGTGAATTTAGTGCTATAAACATTGATGTGACTGTGTCACTTTAGTATGCTGATTTTAAATCCTTTGGATATATACAGAGGAGTGAGATAACTGGGTCAAATGGTGTTCCATTCCTAGTTTTTTTGAGGAATATCCATTCTGCTTTCCAGAGTGGTTGCACCAATTTCCAGTCCCACCAACAATATATGAGTGTACCATTTCCCCCACATCCTCACCAACATTTAGCATTACTTGTATTCTTGAAAATTGGGGGGAGGGGTGGCGGGGATGTCACAAATCTGATCAGAACACATAGGAAAATTTTTTCTTAATTTTAAATAATCAACCAAGTAAAACATGAACTTTGGAAAATGGAACAAAGAAGTCCATTTCATTATAACAAGTTGCTTTCTAGTCTTCTAAATCTTTCACAGTGTAAGAATAGCATGAACAAAGGTGTGGTGACTGGGAGGGGATAAACAGGATATACAGGAGGTTAAGAAAAATTCATATTGAAGAATGGTAAGGAAAAAGACTATTTCTAGCTCATATAAAAGTCTGGAAGGCTGCGTGCTGCTTTAAGATGCTTTCATCTTCTTATTCTGCTATGAGTACCTTCTATTCCCAAAGTCACAGAAGATCCATTCCAGATCCTACATGGCTGTTCTAGTTTTTAGCTATGACCACATTTCAGGCACAAGGAAGGATAAAAGTGACCAATCCTAGAAGTCACGTGTACCTCTTCTGCTTACCTTCAGTTGACCAGAACTTGGTCATATGGTGATGTTACTATACCAAAAAGGCAACCGGGCTTTAGCTGCATATTCTAAGTCTATAATTTATAAAGAGGAAAACAGATTTTAAAGAATATCTAACAGTTTCTTCCACAATCCTACCCTTTAACCACCAAAATATCTTTGCTTTTAGTCATGAATGGAAAACTTCCAAATACAACAAACCTTAAAGTGATCTGCTTCAGCTGGGTTTTTTTTTTAATTGAGTAACAAAGAATTCTTAGAGGAAAATAATTTTAAAAGGCTGGAGCCATAATCTTATCTCCAAAGATGCTGCTTTAGAGTGCTACTTTAAATTGTTCAGTTTTGAATATAGCAATATCCTTCAAATCTACAAGGCCCAAAGCCCCAAGTTACTGAACTCTGAGTTAAATTTATATTTAATTTCAGGATTAGGTTCAACTGTATGTAACAAAGACCCAAATTAATACTCTTTTGAAAAGGTACAGGTTTATTTCTTATTTTAAAGTCTGAAGGTGGGCTGTGGTTGTGGCTCAGTGGTAGAATGCTTGCCTCGCATGTGTGAGGCACTGGGTTTGATTCTCAGCACTGCATATAAATATATGATTAAAATAAGGGTCCATCAACAACTAAAAAAATATTTTTAAAAAGTCTCAAGGTAAGTTGTCCAGGGTTGGTGTGGTACTCAATGATTGTCTGAGATTTAAACCCCTTCTATCCTTGAGCATGTCCTTCTTCCCTAGCATCATATTAAAATTAAAGGTGACCAATCCAGAGACAGCCATTATGTCTTCATTCTCTTTTGCAAAGAAAAGGAAAACCTAGTGCAAACCCACTCATGCTGCTCATTTTCACTAATTTGTCATTGGTTAAAACATGTTCATGTATCCCTACACAGCCATAAGAAACACGGAAAATTAACCCTCCCCCATCTTTCTTTCCCTTTTTCCTCTCTATATAAGTTTGGCTTATTTTGCTTAACATAATATTCTCAAGTTACATCAGTTTTCCTACAAATGACACAATTTCATTTTTCTTTATGGACATTTTCTTTGTCCATTTTCCCATTGATGGTTTTTAGTTTGGCTATTGTAAATTATGCTGCTATAAACACGGGTATGTTCGTATCACAATAGTATGATGACATTAATTCCTTATGGTAAATACCAAGGAGTGGTATAGCTGGGTCATATGCTTGTTCCATTCTTAGTCTTTTGAGGAACTTCCATACTGATTTCCATAGTGGTAGTATTCATCTACAATCTCACTAGCAGTGTAAAAATGTTGCTTTTTCTTCACATCCTCTCCAGTATTTTGTATTGTTTGTGTTCTTAATAACTGCCATTCTGCTAGTTTTTATTTTAGGCAGCTCTATGCTTCGGTTAAAAGTTAAGGATACTACTATCGTAGAAGAAGGAAGAAATGAATATTGTCAGACAATTGACAGTCTTTGTCACAAAGAATTTAGACAAGTATAATAAAATATTAATATATAGATGTGCCAAGACATTACAATGTAGTTATTTGATATATTTGATGCAGTATTTTAAAAGCAGCCAAAATTATTTTATAAACAATATTTATGGGTTTTCTAATTTTCTCAAAGTCCCAATGAAATCCTGCAATAGCCTATATTATTTCCATATTCTCCAACACCTTTCTAACTTTTCTCAACTACATTCCCGTTTGATCATCCATTTATCTACTTTTCTTTACACATGTCAGTTATATTCCAACTAGGGCCTTCTCACTCTTCCTTTGTTGTCTGCTTGGTTAAATTCCCTCCCTCTTTCAAGTCTTTACCTAGGTGCTACCACCTCAATTATACCTATGCTGACAACCTTATTTAAAGTTGGTGTTTCCTTTACTCTCACACTCCCAATATAACTTTACCTTCATCAATTTTCCAGTATCATTTTCTATCTTCTGATGTCTATATAGTTTATTTATTTGTTGTGTTTATTATTTGTTATCTGCTCCCACTAGAGTGTAAGCTGCACAGAGCACATTTTTGTCTCCCTGCTTGTTTATTGAAGAATTCTAAGTACTTAGAAAAATGCCAGATATATTATAGATCCTCAATAAATAATCAGAACATGAATGAATGCTTTTATTTTAGAACAGCAGTAAAAAAGGTAAAAGTAATATTGTTATTACCTTAAAAGTAATATCTTTTCCTTAGTTCTGGTATGTCATTTTATATTGGAACACCTCCTCATTGCCTTAATGAACTACATCAGACATAAGATTTTGTAGTTTTTAAATCAGTATTGTTAGTGCATGATTACATAGTAAAGGAAACACCAGCTTTAAATAAGGTTGTCAGCATTAGGTATCATTGAGGTGGTAGCACCTAGGAAAAAACTTGAAAGAGGCAGGGAATTTAACCAAGCAGTCCTGGAAAGGGACTGATAGATAATATTCTGGGTTATTATTTCTTAAGAGCATATTGTTTTGGTCTTAAGATACTAGAGTTTGTGTATATTATGTAAGAGATTTCTAGGCTACAAATATAAAATTTCCAACTCAATTTAATTCAAGCAAAAAGAAAGAAGTAAGAAACTGTAGGAAACTCAGGAGATATGGGTTGCTTTGTGGTTTTGGGGACTCAAATGTTGTCATCAGGACTCTCTCTGGCTTTCTCTGTCCTTCTTCCACTTTTGCTCTCATCTGTTTTGGTTTCATTCTCAGTGGTGGAGGTTTATATTGTTCTCGAAGTTGACAATCATTTTTTTCCTCATCAGGACTTTGATTTACCAATCTTTGTGTCTGGGCAATGGGGCACTTTGGCCATCTTTGTAGATACTTATTTCTTGGCATGGAAGCCAGCTGCATAAATTGAGAATCATATCAGAATCAGGAGGAAGGGCAAAATAAATAAATTTTATTGTGTTGGGTTTTTTAGTAACATATTTCTCATATAAAATTGCTTATATAAGCAGTATTTTTAAAACCAGCCAACGCTAAAAGACTTTACAAGAAATTAGCATATTTTTTGTGGTGTTAGGGATTAAACCCAAGGTCTTATGCATGTGTGGCAAGCACTCTACTAACTGAGCTATGTACCCAGCCCAGCAATTTTTATTTCTTAAATGGGATTATACCATTAATACACTTATATTCATATTTTTCTTTAAGTTCTTATCACTGTTAATTTCTAGTGTAATTTTACACTTAATGATTGCTATACAGTCTAGAACATGATGACAAGTAGATTGATACTAATGTTTACCCTCAATTTGAAATCCAAGAGGATTTTACATTTTAAACTATCATTCTTCATAATTCTTAGCTGCAGATGGCAAGAATAGAAGCAGATGATCACTGAGAAGCACTGTCTCACTCTCCTTTATTTCCCTTGACTAAAGTGATGGAGGAATCACAACAAAGCAATCCTATAGACACCTTGCATGGGAATACTGTGGAGCCAATTTACACATATATTTTGAATGACATACCAGGGTAAGAATATGATTTTATCAACTTAAACTGAATTTTAAAGAAGTTAAGTATGCTTATAAAAAGTTATCTATGTAAATATTTATTTGGTATTTGGTTAAAGTGATATAAATGGTAACTTGGAGATGGGATGAGCTATGGAGATTGTTGTCTAGGTTACAGTCCCCAATTTCTTCTACTTGATGGGAAGAAAAAAGATAAATGATCAATAAACATGAATTATTTGTGGAATCTGATTTGAACATATAATAATAATTATATCAATAATGGCAGCTAATATTTGTTATGTATCAATCCCCACTGCTTAGCTCTTCACCTGCATTTTTTCAATTTTGTTCTCAAAACAATCCTAAGAGGAAAATAGGCAGGTAGTATTCTAAACATCTCTGTTTTATCAATGAAAAGATAAAGACATAGAGAGTTAACTATACTCACACTAATAAGTGGAAAAGGTATGATTTGAACCCAATTGGCTCTAACTGCACTGTCTTATATATTGTATTGTAGATACTAAATTACTCATGAAAATATTCCTTCCAATAAAACAATGAAAAATTTTTCTCTAAATAAGATTTTAAATATTTCTTTATATAAATTTCAATCCTAATATAGTGTTTCTTTGCTCAGATTTTTTATTGCTTTTGTAATTTATTTTTCCAACTTTCAACTTAAAATGATTATCATTTACTTTTCATCCCATCTCTTGTTTGTTCATTTTTAATAACTTTATTATTTTTTTTCTGTGAGAGCTAAATGTACTTTCATTTATTCTATTTCTTTCTCCTTTTCTTTCTTTTATTTTTTTATTCTCAGTCTAACTCAGAATTTGTGTCCTTGTCCTTTTTATTATATATCAGTCTTTTCATGTGATATTTTCCTGCTTCTGTTTTTAATAGTTCGTTATTTAAACATGATTACTTTATTTATTTGTTTGAATTCTAATTTCTTTTCTGTAACTATTTCCTGTTACCATCAACTTTGATTATGATACACCTAGAACAGAATGTTGAAGATAATACTCCAAGATCTTTTACCTTCTTGGGAAAGAAAATGATAATCTTCATCTTGAAAGAAGTCAAGTTCATAAAGGCTAATGGCAATGAAAGCTCTATTGGTACTGATATGATTATCAGAGAAAGGTAATTTTCTCTGAGTAAAGGCATTTTTCTCTTGATTGAGGTTAAAACATTTTTGTTTTCCTTGCCACATTTTGTCTACCATCTTTATGTTCTTTATGAGAAATAATTATTCAAATAGTTAATGTGTTTTTCCTTTACTGGTATCATAGAAGCTCTGCTTTTCTTCACTAATTAACACATTCTGCTTATTAAAAATGAGCATTTGTATTAAATTTACTTATAGGAGTCATACAGTGACCAGTATTTTCATGTTATTATCTGATACTATTAATTTACCTTTGATTATATTTTTTTGTGAAAAACCCTTTTTTTTTTTTTACCTTTCTCATGTTCTTTCAGTGTTTTTCTTCTGCTGTCATTCCATCTACATTTGATTGTAATAGAGTGAAAACTATTGTGCCAGAATCCCACTGCCAAAGAAAACTAACACCAAAAGTGTAAATGTGGTCTGATCCTCTCATTTTAAGACTTACCAAGTCTTTAGAGGTCAGATGACTACTAAAGTGTAGCCACTTCCAAGAAAGACGAACAATAGGAAAATATGTATTCTGAGGTGGTCCAGAATAGGGAATAAATCTTTGAGACGTGTATGGCAAAATCAAGTATTTATTCATAACAGGTTCCAAAATATTCATACAATATATCTTTAAATGCTGTAGTAGAAGATTTCCAAATGACAATTTGATTTTAGAGTTAAGAAAATATTATAATAACATATCTTTCTATTCCACATATAAAATACTTTTAGTGATTTTTAGCTGACAATCATATAAGAAATGTAATTTCATGATTTTTATAATGGAATGTTATAGTATATCTTATTCTACTGGCAGCTTAGTATATTACCAACTCTTACATTTCCCTGAGGAGGAAATTCCTTTTAGTACATTAAATGAGGACTTAAATCAGTTATAAAGTGACTACCAGCAACTTTTTGTTGCAGATTATCAGGGCTGAGTTTTTACAGATGAGCTTGATTTCAGGGATATTAATGACACCTCCTCTATTAGGTCCCATTTCATGTCATTTTACTCATCTTGGGTATTTCAATTGGATTGAGTATTTGACTTTTTATCAAATATAAACATTTGGAAACATGGCCTTTTCTAGGGACAGTATAAATTTATTGATTTCATCATTTCAAAGGTGAACTGTTGATTCTCATCATGGAATGGTGGCAGAAGGGAGCGAGGGGAGACAAGAGTGAATGAAGCAATGCTGTATCTTCACTGTTTCCAAATCATACACTTTCTTTAATTCATATATTTTTTTCTGATTTTTTCCATCAAGACTTAAAAAAGTCTCTATAAAATTAAACAGTAGCATGTTGTTTCCCTTAAATAATAATGAGACTAGATCATTATTCCTTTTGGAAAATTTAAGTTTCTGCTGGAAAATGTTATATATAATATCTATTATAGACATTATAATATAATAGTTTTATATTTAAGATATAAATATATCCTCTCCCAGTTTTAGATTTAAGATGTAGCTTATTTTTAGTTTTTTACTTTTGCACATGCAAAAATATTCTTTTATTCCTTTAGGCAGAATGGTTTATTCCCCTGATCATATACTCACATGGGTCTTTAAGAATCTTTGGAATTGTTTTTCTTGTTTAGTATTTTCTTTTTCTGCAAAAGCAAGCCAGTTTAATTTAACAAGCATTTTTGGCTGCCTTCTATCTGGAGTGTGTGTGCGTGTTGTGGTGGGGGGATATGGGTTGTATTTTGAATGTAATACATTGGTTGTTATCCAGACATTGAGTTGCAAGTAAAAATTTGACATATTATGTGTTTAAATAACCTGAGATGGCTCTGCAATTGGAAAACCTTTACCAACATTTCTAGGCTAAACTAAAATTATATTTTCTTTGACGCTAGAAATAAAATTTGTGGAGAATTGCTCAATTTCATTATCACTTATTTACTCTCTATGGTGTTTAAATCACATTTTATCAGAGAAATTGTAGAAAGTTATTTATATCTTTGGAAGTTATTTGTTTAAGCAAGTTGAGGAAAGGGCAGTATGAAGTTTAATGAAGTCTTTGTGCTTTGTGTACTCCAGAGATATTGAAAAAGATTGCATTCATCAAACGTGAGATTATTTCTTTTATTGGTTGCATTTCATTATTTCAAATTTGTGACATTATTGAAAATACTTCTGGCCATTTTCCTTTGTGTTTCTATTTTCTTATTTGTACATATTCCAATTAGAAAGTTTAATTACCATTAAAATGTAATAGGATAAAGATAAGTTTTACAAATGATAATATTAAAAAAGCCACATAACTCTTTAGGAAGGTTCAAATGCTATTAGAATATGAAGCAAGAAATATATGCTTGTCAAATATACAGTATAAATAAATAATTTTAGATGAAAATGGTTGACTACATTTAACAAAGAGTCTACCAAATAATGAAAGGCTAAAGAGTGGTTGTTAGATTTGATGTACTTCATTGTATATTGTAAGTAATTGCTATCCATAAAAATTCTATGGCTTCTGTATAAGAAAAAGAGACATTTTGACAGGCAACACTAGTATGAAGTGACAGCAAGTACAAATCCTTGGCAACTGTCATTATCCTGCTGTTGAATTCACATCCAAACTATGTGATAACTTAGACCTGCGTGTTTGTTACTGAGCCATGGTCTGTCAAAGTAGCCATACTTCTTATTTATGAATAGTATTATTAGCCACATGCAGATTTATGTCACAGAAATCTCAATTTATGAAGAATGCTTTGTGTTTCAAAAAGGGGGAGGATAAAAACTCCATGTTATGCTATGCATACACTGAAATTTCTGGTGAAATGTTTAAGTAAAAGTTGAGCTTTTAGATACTAATAGATTGGTTTACATTTTTATCCCATCATAATTAATTAAACATTAGTAAAGACTTAATAAAACAAAAAATAAAGCAAATATAATTTAGATTATTAATTATTTGACATTGACTATCCATTATATTGAGTGTAATTTTCTCTATAAAGGTAGTGAGAAAGCTGATTATATGTTAGGCCATGATCAGTGCAAAGTAATACAAAACTAAAAAGAGTTTCCAAATGAGGAAGATTCATTATCCCACCTAAGAACTTTAGAGATAAAGTCTAGAATTAAATCCAGTGATTTGGCAGTATTAGCAAAAGCACTTACTCTTTATATCTTGCTCTCCTCCATCCTCAGATATTGGCTAGATGCTTTTTGCAAAATGCTTCATAATAGGTTCACTCAACAAATGTCTGTGAAAAGATGTATATTAGGTCACTTCTCTCTCTCTTTTTTTTAAAATTAGGGCAAAGAAACAAAACATTCTGCAGAAGACGTCTCTTCTTGTCTCATTAGCTAGAATTAGATAATAAACATATTTTTTAACCTACCAGGGCAAGGGATATGGAATTACCATCCTTGGCTTTACGCCATTGCCCTCTGGGGCTGATCAGTGGATACCTTCCGTGGGCATATCAGTAGCTTTGCATCTAAAGAACATAACTGAGGCTTTGCATCTAAAGAAAAATGGGGAGAATGACTGTTAGATAATTAACCAGCATTGCCTGACATAAATTTTGACTTTAATTTTGTTGTATTTTAATTCTTAAATTATGCTTGGGCTGGGGATGTGGTTCAAGCGGTAACGCACTCGCCTGGCATGTGCAGGGCACTGGGTTCAGTACTCAGCACCATATAAAAATAAAATAAAGATGTTGTGTCCACCGAAAACTAAAAAATAAATATTAAAAAATTCTCTCTCTCTCTTTCTCTCCCCCCTTTCTTTGTATCCTTCTCTCTTTGTCCAATAGCATTTTTGTGACACATTTCTGTACAATATCATTATTGTCAAAATATAATTTCTGCATATTAATC